AACAAACTGGATTCTTTTCAACTTCTAAAATCAAAACTTCCGTTTTATCCATTGTTTGTACCCTACAAGCAAATTGGAAAAGCCATGTGAACAAGTTTCTATTTTAGGAAATGATGCAAGGGAGGTGGTACAAGCTGATTGGTTGATAGCAAGAAATCCGCCGCGACTTTCTGAAAAATTCGCTCTTGGGGCAATCTCGACGGTCGACCGCGCGAACAAATATTTGTTCGCGTTCACGTTCGCATTCTATTTGAACGGTCCCTCTATAAAATGATGAAACCATTCCATGACGAAAAACCGCGTTCGCGTTCGCGCTCTGTATAAATGCACCTAAAGACTAGGAAATATGCAATACATAATAGTGGTCTTGACATGCTACAGGTAATTGTCATTGTTAAATATATTACAATAGAAATAGACGACAAACATCCATGAAAGGTTTCTTAATGAGACAAAAGATAGGACAAACTTATACAATTTTTATTGTTATTGAATATATATATATATATTTGATTATTATTATTGTTGAACATGTATAAATATATTAGAACGTAATGAAATAAAACTCTGGTGATTATTCTTACCCAACACTCTTCTAGAGACCACCACACCACGAGACGGTTTTGGATTTATCCATTCTGTGGTCTCTATAAACTATAGTATGTAGTATCAGTCTGAATGAGAGACTTAAATCAATTATTTTCCAGACACCGGAATTTTTTAGGGTACATCAGATGGAATCATTTTTTCAGAGGACAATCTCTGACCACAAAAACTATGCAGATCCTGCACCTACATTTCCATTTTTATACGCCCACATGGAAATGTGGACGCATATTGCCGTCGCCCCTGTCCGTTGGTCCGTCGGTCCATCAACAATTCTTGTGAACACAATAGAGACCACAGTTTTCAACTGATTTTAATGAAATTTGGTTTGATCATTTATATTGATGAGATCTTGGTCAAGTTTGAATTTGACGATCTTTCGATGAACGGTTTTTGAGTTATTGCCCTTGATTTAGGCAAAACGCGTCAAAATTTGTTTGTGAACACAATAGAGACTATAGTTTTCAACTGATTTTAATGAAATTTTGTTTGATCATATATATATATGACGAGATCTTGGTCAAGTTCGAATTTGCCGATCTTTCGATGAACGGTTTTTGAGTTATTGTCCTTGACTTAGGCAAAACGCGTCAAAATTTGTTTGTGAACACAATAGAGACTACAGTTTTTAACTGATTTTAATGAAATTTGGTGTGATCATTTATATTGATGAGATCTTGGTCAAGTTCGAATTTGACGTTCTTTCGGTGAACGGTTTTTGAGTTATTGGCCTTGACTTAGGAAAAACACGTCAAAATTTGTTTGTGAACACAATAAAGACTACAGTTTTCAACTGATTTTAATGGAATTTAGTTTGATCATTTATATTGATGAGACCTTGGTCAAGTTCGAATTTGACGATCTTTCGATGAACGGTTTTTGAGTTATTGCCCTTGATTAGGGCAAAACGCGTCAAAATTTGTTTGTGAACACAATAGAGACTATAGTTTTCAACTGATTTTAATGAAATTTTGTTTGATCATATATATTGACGAGATCTTGGTCAACTTCTAATTTGCCGATCTTTCGATGAACGGTTTTTGAGTTTTTGTCCTTGACTTAGGCAAAACGCGTCAAAATTTGTTTGTGAACACAATAGAGACTACAGTTTTTAACTGATTTTAATGAAATTTGGTGTGATCATTTATATTGATGAGATCTTGGTTAAGTTCGAATTTGACGTTCTTTCGGTGAACGGTTTTTGAGTTATTGCCCTTGACATAGGAAAAACGCATCAAAATTTATTTGTGAACACATTAGAGACTACAGTTTTTAATTGATTTTAATGAAACATGGTGTGATCATGTATATTGATGCGATAATTTGATGTATCTGATATTAATATTAAATTTATTTGATATGAGAAAATTCATACTTTAGTCACTGAAGACTGTTTTATCATTTCTAGGTGCGCCTCCATTTCCCATTTTTTGTCCTGTCCTATATTTCAGATGTTAAATAATGACAAGCAGTCTTTGAATGCCGTCATTTATAACCACAAAAACATATGTGTCAGAGTAGTAGACAAAACTGAACTTCAGCTAAGGCAGCTGAAAACAAATTACCTCGTTTCAGTACATTTGTACAATTAAATAATAGAATGTACGTATTATAATGAGCATGACAATATAAACCTATTTTTACAGAAGACAATTTTCAGTCAAATTTTCAAACATTTGCCAATGAATAAGAAAAAAGTGAAAACGAAAGACAAGATTGGGTTATGTTGACAAGGTTGTGTTGTGTACATTTTATTCTTTAAACATGTTTAAAACACCCAATGAACTCTCTCAATATTGATCAAACCAAACCTTTTTTTCTATATCAACTTCGAAAACACTAAACTTTTCATCGGATCTAGATATTTGAATTATCAAAAATTTAAACCTAGTTTTTTAGAAAGACTAAGAAATGTATATTTGATTCCGTAAAATAAACGTTAGTGTAAGTTAACACAATTTGTGTCAATCGATGCATGGAAACACTGTATTAGCATTTAAAATCTTTTTAAATTTGTATCATTTGATAGGAATTAGGTCCGTCGTCTTCGTGCACCAGCTTTCCGATCTAGACTAAAGTGTAACTTTAAACTTAAGCTGCAAAAATCCCTTCGTGTGCTCAAAAAAAGTTCACCTTTGTTTCAAATTACTTAGAGTCAGCATTTTAACTTGCTGACACAGACGTACCGGCTTTACCAGTTCAAATAGGTACATCGTCCTGTATGTATCATGCCGTACAGAAAAGTGACCATGTATCATGTAACACAGAAAAGTGACCATGTATCATGTCACACAGAAAAGTGAACATGTACCAAGTCGTAC